TTTTTTTTTTTTTTTTTTTTTTTTTTTTTTTTTTTGAGAATATATAAACAAACTCCACAATTATCCCTCCCATTCTCAACCCGAAACTCAATAATGTCATCATCACGGGGTTATAAAAGAAAACAATTAGGCTCAAAAGGGCAACTAGGGAATAACTGCAGAAAAAAACAAGGACAGAAAGATACAAAAAATGCCTTAATCATATTCACAGTTCACAACTCAGATTGATTCATTTCGAAGCAGACTCAGGGCAAGTTCTAATCAAACAAGAGCATGACCAATGTATCTCAAGAAAGAAATAGGGCTCAAACCTCACTAGGTAAATATATGAGTGTCACTCAAAGTCATTAACCAAGCATTTCATCATGCTATGCCATACAATACCATCATCACAACTCATCGAATTCATTAAACATGTCTTAACTCATCATGCATTTTCCAAGTACAGACTCCAAAAATCCTACACTAGACTGGTCCACAAGCAAAAGAAAGAAATAAAACACACCCTAAAACAAGAAAAACAACTAGACCCGGTCAATCATGCAGCCACATAAACTCCCCCACACTGAAAATCAGACAATGTCCCCATTGTCTATCCGCAGCGAAAGGAAGTAGTACTTACACAATGAACCGACAAAACACAAGAAAGAGAAAAGACAAAAGAGAAACAAAATAAAGAGAAAAGAAAAAGAAAAGCTAACCAACACAGTGACAAGTCACTGTGGACCAGGAGGAGCAGACGGAGGAGGAGGAAAAGGCTGGCCGGTGCCGGAGCTCCACTGAGTGTACCGCGCGTCCCACTGGGTCTGCCAGGCCTCGATAGCCTGAAAGCGGAGGTCGGCGCTGTCGAACCGGGCACTGAAGTCGCGCATGTCCCGATTGTAGCGGTCCTCGAACGCCGACCACCACGGAGGAGGCTGGGACCACCACGGTGGCGGAGTAGAGGACTCGGCGGGGCGCTGCGGCGAACCCGCGGGTCGGGGATCCTGAAAATCAGCCTCCGGGGCCGGCTGCCAACCAACAGGCGGCGGAAGGCGATGGTCCTCGTCGATAAGCTCATGATCGTGCGCCATCACCTCCGGCTCCGGCGGAGGACGAGATGATCCTGACTGAGCGGCGGCAGCGGCAGCCGCGACCTTGTTCGCATAGGTGGTGTAAGCCTGACGCTGAGGATAGGCCACGAAGGTGTGTCGATCCACGATGAGGCCCGAATGCGACAGCTCAAAAGAATCAATGCGCCGCATCAAAACCGGGGGGCTGCCAGACGCCACCGGATCGAGGCCGAAATGCAAAGCGAACGCCGTCACCACATGCCCAAAACAGGCGATTGTACGCGTAGTCCGGGTGACAGCCCGGAGCTCGTCCGTGAAGATATGCAACACATTCCGAGGCTCATTCCGGAGCATAGACCAGAGGACGACGAGATCATTCTGAGAGACCTTATTCGCCTCCTTCTTCCCGAAGAGGCCATAGCACAAGAACTTGTGCATGACGGCAATCGCGCCGCTCTCAATTAGACTATTAACCATGCCACGGGAGTCCCAGACCGTGTCGGGAGAAATCTCGGTCCAGAAACGAGACGGTGTCATAGGCGCCCAACCGCTACGGCCTTCATTACGGAGGCCCAAGACGCGATCCATGACGGCGGCATCAATTATCACCTTAGTACCAAGCAAACGGCACGTCATGTACTCGGAGCCATCGGAATTCTTCCGAAACTCGAGGGTAGAGAAGAATTCGAGTGTGAGGTTCTGATAGGTCGGATGAAAAACATCGGCATACTTCCGCAAGCCAAGCGTGTCAAGGTACTGCTGGATCGTC